ACCTCCAAGCTGCCAAGGTTGAGAAATACTGCTCTAGACACTCATTCATTATATTTAAATGATTTTTTTGGTTGGTTTTTTGCAATGGAGGCTACAAGTATCTCTGAGAAACAGACAGGGATTCCCAAAGATTTACTTCCGAGTCTAAATGCATCGGTTTCAGCTCTTGTACCACTCACCAAATTGCATCTTTGTTTCCCCAGTTTAAATCAGGGGTGCTGAAATGATTAGCAGGCAAGCCAGATGCTGAATTTGTCATGAAGGATGGCAAAAATAGGGACGGGGTTCCGCGATGCGCTAAACACGAACCCAGCTAAGTCATGGATGTCTTAATGATGGCCTGTGAAACAAGACCCAGTGGCCAGAGTTCACACAACCGAGATAAGCCGAAACCAAACCTATTACATTACAGCTGTACATGGTACATGAACGCAGAATTATGTGATTTGTAGACCATGGCTGGAAAGAAAAGACACTAAAACATGGTTTGGTTAAGCTATAATTCACTGAAGAAGTGGAGATCCGTGTTAAGCAAAGCAAAAGAGACGATGTTCGCTGGATGGTCCTGTCTACCATATCATCCATCTGTGTATCCTGTACAAACGCAGGTTTCGTTAAAGAGTAAATTCATGATTGCCACGGAAAGGAAGACCAGGGTCCGTCCCCTGAGCTCCTTCCCCCTCGGCCTTGGGGGGAACATCCTCCGAGGTCCCCGTTGGAAGACAGTCCCTGCCCGCCATTCATAGAAGGTTCTCTCTGGTAACCGGAACCCCGCCGGCCAATCGGGGCGGCCAGAAGGCTCGGGCACGGCTGTGGCATCATCAGAACCCTGGTGGGATCCGGTTGTAGCGATTCCGGTCAACCCTTCGGGTCTTGGAGGCTGCAGCCCGTTATTCCTCTGACACTGTCGCAGGGAAGAGGTCTCCTTGGGCGCTCCTGTCCTAGACTCAACTAGGGTGAAGGCAGGTGGATCCCAGCTGGATCCCCACCTCCACCCGGTCCTCTGTGAACCAAAGAAAAGCTCCTCTGCCAGATCGGTGGGGAGAGGAATGCATAGTGGGAGAAACGGCTTATCCTTTCTGTAGAAGACCAGTGAGGTCTTCTGAGTGGTGTCCCGTCAGACGTTGTCTACTCGACCGTCCTTGGGTGGCACGTCCTCCCCCACTCCTTAGGTCTTCCTAGAGCTGAGATCGAATCGACAGACCGCTTGAAGGAGATTTCACGAGCGAACTAGCCTTTAGCCATGGTGGAACACTCAACCTCCACGCCGTACGTCTCGGTGATGGACCAGTATGGCTACCAGATTGGCAAAGTCATTGGGCACGGCTCCTACGGGACCGTCTACGAAGCGTATTTTGCCAAGCAGAAGTCCATGGTGGCCATTAAGATCATATCCAAGAAGAAGGCCTCGGAGGATTATCTCACAAAATTCTTACCCAGAGAAATACAGGTCATTATCTGGGGGGCGGGTGGTTGGGTATCCCTTGGGCCTGAATGGAAAGGAATGCTCTGAGTCCCTTGTAAACATCTACATTCATACCGTTCCAGGAATTGAATAACAGGTTCAACAGAACCACCAATGGGGAGTTTTTCAATGCCTAATTGGTTAAAAGGGAGGCATTGCTTAGAAAGGGACTTTGCACTCACTCAGAGGCATTATTGCTCCATGATTGCTTCTCATTCTCACATGTGCCTTCATAGTCTGAAATTCAGTATGGGGAGGTATCATTATATATTTGTTTTTACGACATTTTAGTTTTTCTTTAGTGGAAAGACAGAATACATATTTAGAAATAATTAAATAAGGAATGGGTTGGCGGGATGGGGGGCAAGTCTCGCTTCCAACCCCGAGCCTTCTGTTCTTTTCAGGTGATGAAGAGTCTCCGCCACAAATACGTGATCAGTTTCTACCAGGCAATTGAAACCACCTCCCGCCATTACATCATCATGGAGTTGGCACCAAGTGGTGATGTCTTAGAATGGATCCAGAAGTCAGGAGCTTGTTCGGAAGCTCTGGCTGGGAAGTGGTTCTCCCAACTGGCCCTGGGGATTGCCTACCTGCACGGCAAGGGCATTGTGCATCGGTGAGAGCGGGCCAGAGGCGTCATTCGGGTTTCTAATTGAGCTCGGTTTGAAACAGGGACAGCTTAGTGGGAGAGTTGGGATCTCCACTCATCCATGTAGTTCACTAGGGGATTCAGAGCCAGGGGTCTCTCTGCCAGCCCTTTGAGGTCGGCAACTCAGCAGACACCACAGGAAATAATAGAACTCTACTTCATTGCTATAGGCTGTGTTTC